TTTGGACGGACCGGGGGTTTCTTCGCAGGTGAGGAAGTTTTTCTTGCTTTTTCCTATGCCGAGTCGATGGAGGAACTGGTCTTCCACGCGTCGCCGAGCACGAGAGAAGGTCGCTCCCATGTGTCTGCGAATTCGCAATTCATTTCTTAGAAGGACGAGCTCTGCGGCTCCGATCGACCGGGCGAGCGATCGCACGGAACAGACCCTTTGTACGAGAGGCGAGAGTGCCGGCTGATGCCCTTCGGAGAGGACCTGTCACCCGGCTCGTGCGATTCCCCCCTCTTCGACCACGACTCTGCAACGACACCCGCCCTCGCACCCCGACCGACACCCACCGCGAAAGACGGCAACCTCGAAAAACGAACTCACTGGGATAGAACCGCGAAGGCTTCTTGGGCTTGAGCTTCCCTCCGGTGCTCGAGTCCCCGCCGCTGTTCTCCTCGTCATCCCCCGCCATGCTCTGCAGTGGATGTGGACGGGTCAGTGCGGATGGGCGGAGGGGCAAGGTGGGGCAAGATGGAGCGAGATGGAGGTGAGGTGGGGCGAGGTGGGGCAAGATGGGGCAAGGTGGAGCGAGGTGGAGGTGAGGTGGGGCAAGGTGGGTGGGAGTTTTTCCTTCTTTCATCTCTTACTCTCTGAGACCTTTCCATCGTTCTCAAGTACGAGGTAATGCAAAAAAAGGTTTGTATGCCCCACAAGCAGACTGGATATTATTCTTTTTCTCCGGTGCATGAGACATGGAAGACGATTCCGATCGTCGATAATTTTCTTCCTGACTAGGTATTCTCCCCGAAGGGAAATCCTAGAATTTGGATCAAGATTTTTCCCGACGGCAGTCCCTACAGCAGGCGACATTTCTGACCGAACAGCACCAAAACTGGGATAAATCGAAGTCAACCCGCTATTAGGATAGCCCGATGCGCAACTCTGAGACATCGATAGGCTCCATAAACGGCATTGTCCGACAGGGGGAGTTTCTCAAAAAGTCAAAGCGCGAAATCATGCACGGAAATCAGCATTTCAATTCCCACTGCAGGCGGATTCCTGCAGAGCTTCTGATGCTGCATTTCAACACGTCTCCCCGACGTGATTACCATACCGAATCTCATTCAAAATCCAATCGCATTTAGGGGCGACTCTGCATCTGCATTGGAATCTGATGCATCTGCAGAATCTGCCCGGGGCATGGAATTCCCTCCTGCACGCCAGAGCAAAAGAACCACATCGGGCAGCACTGACGCCGGTCGCCGTATTTGCTTAGGGCAGTCGTTGCTCCCCGAGCAAAAATGTGGCCACTCTCTCTACGGTACGAACATAACGGTAAAAGCACTCATTACTTCAATAAATGAAAAATATTTTCTGTAATATTCTGCCACGTGCCCTTCGCCACCCTCCCACAACAGTCAGCAACCATCGAATTTTGAATTTCGCTAGACGGAGATGGCAGATGGCGCCTATTCGCAGATCGCAAGCGACGCGAGAACAGAGGAAGCGGAAGACCAGTGACGTCACACGCACATGACTGCTCCCGGTCTTCCTCATGGAGCTGATGGCGAGCGCAGAGAGGCCCCGGCTCTTGCGGAACACGGCCCGCCGACTCATCGGATCGGCCTTGGAGGATGCAGCCCCGGCGCCTTCGTCCAGGAGGATGAACATGGCCGGGGATCCGGCCTCGTCGTCCTCGCCGGCTCCTCCGTCCTCCCCGCCCGTCTCGTCCGCGTCCGATCCTCCCGGCCTGCCGAATCACATTTCCGACCCGACGCTCAGTACGGCCCACGGGAGAAACACGAGAAAAAAAAATGAAGACACGGAAAGGGCGAGTGTGCATCTCATCGCGAGCCAATTCCCTTCCCCTCCCTTTTTTTGGCTCCCTTCCTGCGATCGACGGGGAGTCCGTGTCTGTCCCCGGCTGTGTGCCAGAGAGACACGTTCCTCGTTCGTAGTTTTGCGCGATTCACCATCGATTCACCAAGTTCGTAACACAAATTTAACCATCTCAACTACTTAATGTTCGAAAACGCGTTCAGCAACAAATAAATCGCGAAATCGATTTAAACTTTTTTTTAAACG